GAAGCATCATGGGCCTTTTAAGGGCCAGTGGAGGCTGAGAGTGGGTGCCCCTATGGCAGCCAGACATGGCTATAACCTAGAGCTGTACACTGTGATGCTGGGAGCCTGTGGACAGAGGGATGTGGATGTGCTCTGCAGTCACACAATAGGGATCCGGCCTGCCGAACCTCTCTGAACTCCATGTTTGAAATGAGTGAATGCCTGCCTTCAGGGGGTGTTGGGGTTAAGTAAAATTGTGTTGCTGCTCAATAAACCATAGCAATTGTGTGCTCTGCCTCACTGTGCCCATTGCAGCTGGTTTCTTAATGTGTCCTTTCCCTTCCTAGGTTCTAATAGAGCCTATAGTCTGGACCACAACAATAGGCTCTTAGCTCTGTCTTGGTGTGTCCAGTCTAAACTCAACTCCTGTGCTCCAAACCCTCCAACAACTCCTCAGTACACACCAAATTAAGTCCATAATTCTCAGGCAGCACTCAAAACCCACTCAAATAGGCTCTAAACTTTCACCCTCTCTAATCTGACTCTCGTCACTCTCTTCTGAAACCCATGTTTCATTCAGACTGGTCTGCTGGCCAGTCCCGTTATGGATCAACACTCTGAGTGTTCTTTCCCTTGTTTAGAATGCCATTCTTGATTCATCCTTCAAAATCTCACCTATCCTCTTTGAAAGCTTTCTTTATCTCCCTAGCTTAGAGCCACCAGAGCATTTTCTTGACAATTTCCTTGTGAGGTTCTAGTCTCTCTCTTCTATTTATTTGTAAACTTGACCCAGTAGACTGTAAACCCCCTGAGGTCAGGATCCTGCAACTTTCATTTCTGTATTCCTGATGCATAAAACAAAAAACAAAACAAAACAAAACAAAAAAACAGTAGCTGTCAAGTCAACTCCAACTCACGGCGACCCCATGGCTGTACAACTCTATTCCACTGGGTTTTCAATGCCTAATTTTTCAGAAGTAGACTGGCAGGTACCTCTGGGTGGACTTGAACCTTCAGTTTTTAAATTAGCATCTGTACATGTTAATTGTTTGTACCACCCAGGGAATTATAGTAAGTACTACAAAATATTGGTTGAAACAAATGACTGCCTTGCAAACATCCCCTGTTTTTTAGGCTACCAAGCAAAACCCCTGGAGCTCCTGTAATAAGAATTTGGTGGGAAAGTGTAAACTGTGGATGGTCATTGCCTCCATTTTCGTTGGTCTCATTATAGTCGTCATCATAAGCTTGTGTCTTCTTGGAGGTAAGAAGATGTAAACATGAATAAGTTGACACATTTTAAGAATGTTAATGCTTATGACTTAGACTGAAATGGAGGGTGGGCTTATTCCTATTTCATGATTTATAACATCAATTTGAAACTGGTTTGGAATATGTTCTATGTGTGAGAGATATAAATGATTCTTTGTTTTATTTATTTTATTTTATAATTTCTGGAAGAAGTCTGGCGACCACGTTTGTAATAACTAACTCTCCCCGTTGTACTTTGGAGTAGTTGAGCCTTGAAGAAGTTTCTTAAATTTTAATATATTTCATTGTATACCTGCCTGCTTGAGATTTTTTTTTAAAAAAAATTTTGAAATAAAAATAATTATTGTACTTGAT